GAGCTTAAAGTTCGAGAAGTGGAAGACATTGTGAACGGGATCCCAGAAGGGCACTAAAACCTTGATCAGATCATTCTGGGGCTTAACTTTCATAATATCCGTGAGAGCACCCAAATGTTCTATTACCCAGTCTTGACCATCTTTACCCAAGTCATACCACCACATTTGAAGCTGCAGTGGAGCCTACTCTATAACATTTAACGGCGGGTTCTGGACAATGTTCATTTTGTACCTGTGAATGGTTAGGGTTAGGGTTGACTCTAGTTCGAAAGACAGACCAGCGTACTCTTTTGCAAAAACTAGTTTTCAATTTTTCAAAAGGAAATCACCTGAAGGTGGTTATTTGTGCAGCATTGGCCAAAATGGTCATTTTTGCAATAATGGCCCCTTCCTACTTTCAAATAAAGTTTTGAGGTCGGGGTAAGGCATTTTATGGGAACAATGATGCCTTATTGACAGACATGTCCGTTCTTGGAGAGAATAGCCCTTCGATAATTTAAAGGTATTCTAAGGCTATTTCGGCAAAAACGGCACAGATTTTAACCGAAGCTGGGTCGGTTTTTTTAATTTATTGATCAATGGACATACTTTATTTATTTGGTTGGAAAAATTAGGGTCGGCACCAATGAGGTTTGCCTATGTATCTCACATCCGGTGAGAATCAGACCCGCGTAGTTTGGTCAGTTTTGACATCATTGGAAAAGCATGATATTGACTTACTTTCATTTTTAAAATGCTTTTTCTTTTTCTCTCTTTTTCGAAAATTTTGGCAGAGTTTCTAGGCATTTTCAAATACCGGGATTTTCAGAATCGGGTGAATTTTCTATCCTACCTCACTCTTGCTTTTTCTGTTGTTTTTATTTTCTTAACCAGTCAACAAATGAGCCGAAACAAATAAATGCGCACATAGCACGTAAGATGCATTAGGATGGTCTTTTATTTCAGGTACATCTGTCCTAGACGGACCCAACCTCAGTGTTGAGTCCCCTAAGTCAAATGCATGTGATGCAAACAAACGTACCTACTAGAGATCCGGCGTGAGGCTATGTTATTCTAGGTTTAAACCTGGGGGGTGTGTTCTAGACATGGCTTTACCCAAGCGGACAGCTTGAGCCGAGGTGGGAGCGACGTACCGGGAGAACGAAAGTCTACCCGGCCTAGTAACTGATCCATCCTCGTTCTATTTGGTATGACCTCTAACAAAAAAGTGGGCCACGCGTACGTGTGCACCATATGTTTTAGAAGACTCAGAAGGGAGGCGTAAGAAGACAATTTAATATAGTTTAAATAATATTAAAGCGGTAAATAAACGACAATTAGCACATTAGGCCCACAAAATACAGTAATATCAACAATCAATAAAGCCAAGTAAAAATCATATTAACAAGCTCGAATTATTGAACCCTGAACCAAAGATTCTGGGTACGTTCCTCAACAGAGTCGCCAGAGCTGTCACACCTCCTTTTTCCCGATGAGGGATAGGGGAGTTTTTCCAATTAAAGTGACATTATTCGAAATTGGATTATTTATTTGATTCAGAGTCTCCACTTGATATTAATTTTATGGTGTCCCAAGTCACCGGTTTATTTTAAAATCCCAAATCGAGGAAATTGACTCTTATTTATGGTCCGCAAATACAGAAGACCGGGTAAGAAATTCTGTTAACCCGGGAGAAGGTGTTAGGCATTCACGGGTTCCGTGGTTTTTGCACAGTCGCTTTAATCATACATGGCTTAATTAAATTATTTAATTACTCATTTTAGCACCTATGTACATTTTTACCTTTTACCACTTTTAATTATTGAATTATGGATTTATCTTTGAAACTGATCACATGTGCGTGAATCCGTGTTATTTGGGGCGCTAAAATCATGTCACGCGTACGTGTACACAATGAATCACACTTTATTAATTTAAGATTCTTTGGTCGAAGTTGCGCGAACGCATACCTCGATTTAATTTTGGATAATGGGATCACGTCATGCAGACATGTACGCAATCACGATAGTAGTTAAAAATCTGCACCTAAGGAATTTCTACGAGTGTTTAATTAAGGCGTTTTATTTATTAAGATTGTTTGACCATGGTCACGCGAACATGTACCTTGGTTTGTTTTTGGCATCACAACTATGTCACGCGTGCGTGTACATAATTGTAATAATTAAGTTGATTATAAATACCTTAAGTTATGCTTATGCCTCTAAACTAAATACTCGATGTCATATGGCTAAGCATAAAGGTTCAATACTAGGTGATATGTTTGTTTGTATTAGATGGGGGAAGCCGATGTATTATCTGTCAAGCAGGCCCAGATTTAAAGTTTGAGGCCTGATAAGGACAGAGTCCAAATGAACTCTAACCCAAGACATATATTATTCGTTATTGGGCCTAGCTAATGAATTCAATTCAAAAGAATTTGGGCTTGCTTGAGTCTAATTGACTCTGGCCCAATGCATATTTTAAGGCAGCTAAATGAATTCAATCCAAACGGTTTGGGCCTAGTGATCATGGAGTCCAAATGACTCTGGCCCAATACAATGTTATTAAGCATTCAATCAATTAAACACATTTAATGCAAGAAGGTTTGGGCCTAATAATGAGTCCGGATGACTCTGGCCCAATATCCATTTGAGACAAATTACTCAAAAAATAATTTGGGTCTGATGATAATGAATCCAAGTGACTCTGGCCCGGTGCATATTTGTGTGAATGATTTTAAAATTAAAATTTGTAACAATTATCAAATTTTACCTATATTTTGTTTATCTTAAAAAAAAAGTTAACACAGGTCTTGGGATACGAACAAAATAAATCAAAATTTTGGTTAATTTTTGAATAATTTCCTACTGATTGCCTAAGCCTCTTAGTAACTTATGTTAAAGTGCTAAGTTTAAGACTCATTGTGTATTTAAAACAACAAAAAATCACTGCCTTTACTTGAATTATCAATTTTATTTATTAGTCAAAATTTCAGAGTACAATCTCGTATACCCAATTGATTTGGGCCTGAAAATGTACCATGATTGCTATTAAGTTTGCTTGCAAAACCTAGTTTTTTTTATGACTTAGAACTAATGGAATCAGATTTACTATATTTGATTGTTTTAAATGAAATGGTAAAACTACTAATTAAACCAGCACATTGTACATGATAATATAATATAAAAGTTAAATTATTACATTAGTGATAACAAATCTATCTATTACTACTTTAATAAATTTTCTAAAAAATATGTGTGTGTGTGTGTGTGTGTGTTATTTTTGCTTCTACTATTACACACGCACATACAGATTTTGTGAATATATATAAAGCTTTAAACAGGTTTTTTACAGTTTTAAGAACATTTTAACATAAAAGTTACCATGACTTAAATGACTCAAGCAGTATAAATAACTAACCACTATCAACCAAACAACTTTATGCAATATTCAAACAGAACACAGATTTTTGATAACCAGTAGAATCATAGTCATGATACAACAAGATTTAAACATTTACATTGTTTAAGGAAGTACCTTGAAAGCAGCAAAAACAAATAAGTAAGAAAATAAGTCTCTGAAAGCTTGAATTAAAGCAGCAGCAATGAAACCCAGTAAGGTAGGAAGAACAACCGGATTTTAAAAAGAAAACAGGAAAGGATTGTATATTTTTGTCTCTGAAAAATCAAGATTGATTTTCAGGAGTTTTTAGTTTTTCTTTTGGAAATGAAGAGGAAACCTTAAGGTAGTGCAGAGATTTCTGTGTGTTTTTGTATGTGTAGGTGTGTAGCTATTTCAGTGTGTATATTGTGTGTCTTCAGGTGTCTATAATGTGTCTGCCCTTACAATGAAAAGGGAAGAGTGTATTTATAGAGTAAAGGAGTGAAAAGGGATGAGAATTAGGGTACAAAAGAATATGCCAGAATTCCCATAAATTAGGGAAATGACATCTTTCTTAACAGAAATGGGCAGCTGTCCAATTTCTAGTACCTTCCTTATCTCAAAAAATGGACAAGTGTCCAATTTCTGGATCTTATCCCTATTTTCCTACTCAACATTGGGACAATTGTCCCTATTCTAGAAGTTTCTCGTATTTTCTGAATAATTTTCAGAATTGAGATTCCAAAACTGACCCTTAAGGGTCTTGGAATTTCCTCAATACCAAATTGGTTCTGGGCCTGAATCAGGTAACTCTGGGCCTAAGGACTTTGGACTCTTAAGCTTTTTACAAAGCTATGGGCATGTCTATTCAGTCATGCCCAATTTATGAGCCAAGTAGAACGGGCCACTTCAGTGAGGCCCAGTTCTTAACCAAACCAAACAACAGTAAAAATAAATTTTAAAAAATAACGGCAATTAATTTAACACAATAAACAACAAAGCAGTAATACTAAAAATAAACTCAAAACTAATAAAGATGAAATAAAAATAAAAACAGAAAGCAAAAAAGAAAACATAAAGTAATCTAACACTGTTTTTACTTTATCTTAATTAAGTTTGTTTAATTAATCGATTTAAATAGAATATCAGACAGTAAAATAAAAATAAAAAATAAAAAAATAGAACAGTAATCGACAATAAACACAAAATATAAAAATGAAAAACAGGAAATAACATAAAATATACAAAAAAAAATAGATCTAGTAGCTAAAAACCCTCATGCCAAGACTCCCATCTAGGATCTGAGATCCTTGATGGGAGATCTTGGCAGGAGGATTATTAAACGGACTAGGTTGGATTTAGGGTTTTGAATTATTAGTCATCTATTGTTGCAGTGGATAATCGATTTGAGCTTTTTGGTTTCCCCTCTTTCCAGTAGCCTAATGCTTTAATTCTCTTGTTGACATGCATGCTCATCTTGAGAACACATTTTTTAGTCTTTAAATAGGAAAATTACAGCAAAGGAATATAACAGTACAAAGCAGGGGCGGAAGGAGAGTATAAATTACGGGTTCGGACGAACCTAGTAGCTTTTGCTTAGACCCTATATTTTTTGTAGGTTTATTAAATATGTGTAAATATTCAATTGTAAACCCAATAACTATAACGAGTTATGTGTTCGACAACAAGTTTAGAACCCATAAACTTCAAATTTTCTGCATATAATACAAAAGGATGATATAAGTATGATCCTTTTGTATACCTGAATGCCTCATCAACTGTCACTCGATCTCTTGCCCAGCTTGCCACACAAATAGCTTTCTAGCTGTGAGAGAAGTATAGAGGTCTTAAAGCTTCATAGCGGGCAACTGGTTACTATTGTGAGTCCGCACTGGAAACGAAAAGGAGCACCTCGGGTTCTGCAGCTATTTCCCAGGCCATCTCAACTGCCAATGTTGACACCCTTAGTTCTGGAGAAAATATGCCTGTTAATTGTGTCATTTGGAGTTGCATCAGTAAAATACTGGTATAGTAGTAGTTAACGACTTACAGATTTTGAAGATCCATTTTAATCATCATGAGGTGGTACCTCTACAGAATTCTCAACAGCTAAAACTAAAAAGATACTTTAATAACACTTAACGCCAATGAATGTAAGTATGTAACTATCCTAGTCAGAAGATAATGGTTACCTAGTCAGAGGTGGTGCGGGGGCATCCAGATTGTCTCCATAGGTTTCAGCCATTAGGCAACAATCATCCGAGGAGAACTCCATAAAAGCCAAACCATCCCCTTCAACATACAGTATATCTCGATCTGAAGGCTCACACTCATTGCTTGATACCTCAACAACCAATGAAGCCAGAAAACAAGCCAATTCAGTATCCATTGTCTATCTTCATGAATGTTAGCATTAATCAAATTCAGAATCTGTTATAGCAGGTGTAATCAAGAAAACGAAGTAGAATTGGTTTCATATTCACATGTAATACTTCACAAGAAAGGATCCAGATTATATATTACTTGGTAAAAGAAATGACCTTCAGGTAGCAACTGCCTTTGCTAGTAACTGGACAAAGCCAAAATTGATCCTGACATGGCACACTTACAAGAGAATAAATGAATAAGTAGAAACATTAAGGAGAAAGTCGATAACGATTTGTAACAGTATATAGCTGATGCATGAGAACACTATGTTACCAGGCGAGCAGGGCTAAATACGCATCGACGACATATGATCCACCACTCAGATCAACTAGATAAATGAAACAACTCGTCGCCCATATACTTTGAGATATTAGTGCCAAATTTTTATTTTTATTTTTTGATAATGGTAACAAGTGCCAAAATGTTTTTATGTAACTACATTACTCTAAAAACTATACTGGACAGCTTGATTCAACAAGACTCCGAAAAGTACCTTGCTCAAGAAGTAATCTGCTGCATCTGGAAGGAAATGAAGCTCATTTCTTCTCTGGAATGTTTTCTGTATAGCAGGATCTTCCACTCCTCTTCAACTAGGGGAGCGTATTCATGTGTTGCTGCAGGGAAAAATGCATCCAAAACTCCAGTGGCAATGACATCCAGTAGCCAATCAGAGAAATGCTTCAAGCACGGGTTCAACGAATCGATGCAATGATTAGTTTCGGCAGACTCCACAACACCAATAGGCAATAGTTCCTTTGAAGATGGAGACCAGAGATTTCAGATAGTCCCAAGTTACGAAGGTTCTTATTAATGTACCAAACAGGAAATCTCTGACCTAAGTAAACTTGCAGTAATCTTTTAAATTAAGAGACACAACATTAGCCTTGGCAGCTGAGTTACCTGGTACCTATGATGATGGGAGGTAGCAAGTACTTGGTGATAGTCAAGGTGTGTGCAAGCTGGTCTGGACACGACCATCATCAAAAAAAGAAAGTGACGCAGCATTTAATCTCCAGATCACATACAGTAGACTATAGGAGATGTCACGTCTCTGAAATTGGTCAAAGGTGAAACAAGCAAATAACTGAAAATTAACGATGAAATAAATCCATCAAAGATTCCTCCCTGCGACTTCATATTACCGCACAAAATTGAAAAGTTACTTTTTACCAACATCATGAATAGAAAAAAAAAACCTGCTCTAGCTTTATATATTTGACGACAAAAAGCCATCCCAAAGGGAAATTCATGAGAAAAGATATCAATTATAGGCAATATTGCCAGTATATTGGTACATTTATGACATAGGAGAAAATCACTCAAGTTCTGCACATGGGGCTGACCATGAGGTACCAGTAAGGTTAACAGGGAGCAGATAAACCACGCCTGATGCCTGTATAAAAAAAGTATATCAGTAGTACTTAAGAGTTAGCAGTGTCTATTCTATAAGTTTTTGCCAATGGAAGATCTTCATGTGGATGGAATTCTTGGCATTCACCTCATCTTACCTTGAAATATTAGTCATATAACATATGCCAACAGAAACAATCATATCAACTCGTAATGAATACTGAGATACTATTTTTGCAAAATGACTTTCAACCTTAGAAGAAGCTTTCTTACATGATCAGAGAATAAAGTCAATAAACACATTGTGCTTAGACATGATAAGAACTACTTGGATACTGATAAGTAGAATCCTAACCTTGTCTATCAGCTACAAACCAGTTTCAAACATAAAGCAAAAGGCTGTTACATATGCTGTAATTAATACAAAAGAGAGGGGCATAAGATTATCGATAAGAAAAGACAATTGAAGCGTGCGGAGAGGATCTTGGAAAGCTTAGGAACTCCTGTTTCATTTTAACATAATCCCGAGACACATCACTCCTGATGAATCTGCAAGTAATGACGAACTTCTCTAGCACAATTGCATTCTTGAGCAAATATTTTACAAATGGCAATACAGATTTATTTCCACTTAGTGGTCCATCAAAGTTAATGAACTTGATGGTCTTCAGATGTAGCGATGAACAGTTGAAATTATGTGTCTCAAACCTCCTGCTCTGTTCAACCTCATTTGTGTACTCTGACAGTAGGTCCTGCAGGAAAAAATCCGCTATATAAATCAGTTATTCTCCTTAGAGGAAGTAGAAAGCCAGGAGTTGATTTTGGAAAAAATAAAAGGTGATGAATTTTTAAAGAACAAAAATGTTTCAAAGCTTAATCTGATCCTTTAACTCCTAGCATAAGGTGGAAAATTTGGGTGGAAGCCGACTCTTTACTTATTGTGAATGTTGTCAAGGGAGTTACAAGACTTTCTTGGCACTACGGACCTATTATTGAGGAGGTTAAAGAGTTGTTTCAAAGTGAAGATGTCAAGATGACACACTTTTACAGAGCATCCAATGGTGTGGCTGATCGTTTAGATGGATACAATCACCTATTGGACGCAAATAAGGAGTTTTTCAGCTTTAACTCACTACCAAGAGAAGCTAGAGGGCACTTAAAGGATGACAACTGGAAGCTCCCTTCCTTCTGAATTCGAAGGAAAGCCCAAAGCTTACCTCCAATAATGCAACGAGATGAACTTCCCAGTTAGTTCTTTTTGTGAACTCACATGTTACTTGAGAATGCTCCTCACTTATTCTCTTTTTTAGTTCTTATGGAAACAATGCACAGGGGAGCAAGTCTCCACAAGTTACAAGCTATTGTTGTAAAGCTCATCAACTACTTAGGCTATTTATGTTTCACGTCGTAAGTAGGAGTCCTCCTCCTATACAAAAACACTCGTCATGGTTACATGTTAGAGGCTTATCTCCTACATTTTTGTCAAAGATTAACCCTTCTCAATATTCTATTTACTTGAGGATTGAACCGGTTCAATTCTTACCTTTTCTGGAAGAGACAAGCAGTCAAGTCCCTCTTTGTAACTTTTTATCATTATCTATGAAATATACACAAGGTTGCTTACATTATAAAAAAAAAGTTTTATGATTTTTTTCGTGAAGTACTTAAGTAGGAGTCCTCCTCCTATACAGAAACACTGGGTTTTTTGTTGTTGTTGTTGAAGTAACAGAAATGAAGGCATAAAGGAAACTTACTCTTGGTTCGTGACTGTACCAGTCAACCACCAATGTCTCAAGATCCGCTGAACTCTGGAGAAAGCTGCAAATTCCAGGGAAGTCCATCTGATCTAAGGCTACGTTAAGTTTTAAGGATTTCCGGCTCGATGGTTGAGATTGCCACCCTTTCAGCTCCAGTATGGACAAGCACTTATAAACCAAATAGATAACCAGAGTATGTCAAAACAAGGAAAGGCGACATACTTAATAAATGACATGAAAATTGCTGAATAATTCGTAAAATAACTTGGACTATTAGACTACATTTTGCCACATTAAAGTGTTCAAGGGTGGTTTGGAAATCCAAAGATGTACTTTTAAACATTTGGAAAAAACCCTTCACATGACTTAAAGACTATGATCAAAATAAATCAACCCAGAGTTTCCATCTTCTGTCATAACAAACTCTTTATTCTCATAATTCATCATCTAGAATTTTGTTCAAAAGGTCTTGTTTCAATTACTGCCACTGTGCACTGTCCAACCACATTGGCCATGAGAATGTAATTCTTTAGTATTTATCAACTTAGTTATCAGATTATCGCCTGAGCCGAGAGCCTATTGGAAACAACCTCTCTACCTGCACAAGGTAGGGCCAAGGTCTGCGTACACAGACCCTCCAACCCACTTGTGGGATTACTCTTTTTTTTTTTTTTTTTTTTTTTAGTTATCAGAAAATCCTAAGTAGTGGCTCTATTAATTACTAAAGTGATGATTTAATTGCAAGATGCTGAACTTTGTATAGGGAAGAGTATTGAATAAACCTGGATGCACCAGGGACCCAATTCAAGATTCTCGACATGAGCAACACTGTGAAGAAGTTCCTTGAAATAGCTACACTCCTCCTCCAAGTCGTCTTCTCCATCTTCAAAATGAGCAGTTAAATAAAGTACTGCAGTGACAAGTGAAGCCGCGTTTCTCTGCTGCAAGTTTATATCCGGGCAGATCCCTAAAATCTGTAAAGTTTGAATATACGGGGCTAGTATTTCAAGCTCATTTAGGTACTCTCGTATGCTCAATTCTCTTAGCTTCACAGAGCTGATTTCCAAACGATGAATGCCCGAAACACTATCCAGTTCCAAGCACTCCAAGTTAGGGCAACCAGATAATACTTCTCCCATTATACCATCTGTCAATTCAAGGTCCCCAAGTGAAAGAGAAACGAGCCTACTCCAGTTAACACTGCCAGGAGGGCTCAAATTGCAGCCTCTTAAATCCAAATTCCTCAGCGATGTGTTCTTGTATGCAAATTGAGGAAACTCATACAAGTCACCACCAAAGCGAATTTCAAGTGTAAAATCTTCAACATTAGCAACTTTAGTTGCAAAATGTATCCACAAATCGATATCTTTAATATAACTCTTCTTGTACGTATAGAGACTAACCCTGAACTTTCGGATTTTCTCGAAAGATCTCCAATAATGAAGCTCTCTATTGACGGAACCCACGAAATCACGAATTCCCTTTTCGCTGTAACCAAAGGAGGTTTCGAAATCGAGTGATATTGGGACGGACTTCCAAAGAAACTGCCATCTTTTAGATAATACGCTGCTTCTCACAACTTCTTTAGGATTCCACAACATAGAGAGAATGTGAAGTAGAATTGCGTCGGGCAAATCACTCAGTCGGTCTCCATCTCCTCTCGCCATGATTTTACTCTGCATTTCCATAGTAAAGTTGACGGAACTCTGCTGTTTGACACTAGGGATTGGGTCAGTAGAATTAGGAATTTTAGTCTGTTAAGAAATGAGGTCCATTTCTTATTCATAATTAGGGATTTTTCGTATATGTACAGAATTTTAAACTTATTGTTTTAGCTAAGTTTTTTATTTAGAGAAAGTAACTAAAAATTAACAAACTATAAATAAATTCGGCCAAAAGCTACAATTTATATACAACTTCAATATAAGTTTTTGTCGTGCAGAATCCGATCAAAAGCTACCATTTACATACAACTTATATACAACTTGTATATAAAATATTTTTACAGAATTTGGTCAAAAAGCTACAATTTGCATACAATTAATATATAATCATGTTAGTTGTATATATTTTATGAGTTGTTTGTGCACTCGACATACAATTTATTTTAAGTCTTCTTCTTCTTTGAGTTTCAATATAAAATTCCAACCAAAACTAACTCGAATCTTCACCAAATTATCTAAAAATGAGATATAAACTCTAAAGTATATTCTCAATCATTTATAAGGATACCTAATTTAAACATATAAAAATTTCACAAAATCTGATTTTTGAATTCAAAGCTTTTAAATGGCCATTAATAAATTTTTAATATTGTTTCACCTTGCATGTTGTTCGAGAGATCACGATGTTAGCCTATCTCATTGCTTATTGCAAATTGTCGGCTTATTAAGAGCCCATTTGAATTGGCTTAAAAGGTGACTTTTTAGCAGAAATAGCTTTTAAGCCAGAAAGCAATAAGTTGGGTTGTCCAATTTATTATTTTTGCTTGTTTTAAGCGAGTTTTAATTATTTTAAGCACTTTATAACTTTGCCAAACACTAAAAATAACTAAAAACGGCTTAAAAGCTGATTCGAGCAGCATAAAAGCCAATCCAAACACCTATTAAATCTTCAAAGAAGTCAACTATAGGCCATGGTTATATATAAGTAGTAATGTGAATTGAAAATGCGGGGTGCCAAATGCCATTTTTGCTCGTCTTCAAAGCTATGTTATCAGCGTTGTTTCTGCCTTGGTGATTATATTAGGTGCTTTGTGTCTAAATGGTCGTTTGGTAGGATGTATTGTTGGGAAGCGTATAGACTAAATGAAGGATATAATAATTTCAAGAGAAAATTAATAAAAACTCTCAAAACAAGACAAGATAAGATTTACGTGGTTCGACAATTTTTGCCTACTCCACAACCACATAAAGAATAACTCTTTATTAATATTGAGAAAGAAAGAAGAATATTGTGAGGGATGGGATACAAATGAGGAGGGGATGCCTATTTATTGGCAGAGGAATCAGTTGAATTCTTCAGCAAAATATGAACATGTGGCAGGACGACACCGCAAACTGCGCCGAATTTGTTCTTTCACATTTTGCAGCCTGCCTTTCCCGACTCCCGTCTCTTTCTATCTTTCCTTTCTTTCTTTTTTCTTTGACTTTTTCATTTTTCTCACATGGGTTTGTCTCATCAATCTCCCCCTCAAACCCGTATACATCAAGAAAGATTTTTTTTTTTTTAAAGATTTGCTATTTTCTGGTGGCGCCTTCGCATTATCAATCTTGAAGGCTAACTGAGGCAGTGCACAACCTCAATTTATCAACACCGACAATTTTAGTCAATATGTCTGACGGGTTCTTTGATCCTAGTATCTTATGCATGGAAAGAGTTCCTTCACTTATGTTACACCATGTGCGTCCCAAGGTGACGTAATAAATATGAGACTTGTTAATCATTATTTAAATAATTTTAAAATCATAATATGGCTATATATGATGTTTGGATAGAAAATATGAAGTTTGAGAAAAATTAGATTAAAGTTGCGGAAACACCGACTAAAGATTTGCCATGTAACAGAGCTTTTTGAGAAATATATTTCGCGTGCTATATGAGGTCTTTTTGGGACATATTATATATCAAATTGAAGGTCTTGGAATGTAGTTTCTAACGCACTTAACCGTTCATTCATACGATACCTGGATAAAAGGTTATAAGAATTGGAAGAAGGGCCAATCATAGGGTGCCATGTAGCACCTTTATGACTTTTAAAACAATTGGGATATTTACATCCCATCTCGTCTCTTTCTACAATTTTTCAGAGAGCTCGCCCAAATAACACCCCTAAATTTACTCTTAAGCCTCTATAAGAGCTTCAAATAATATTATCATCCCGGGCATGGAATCAAGAAGCGATAACATTAAAACGATCCCTACGATGTAAGTATCGCTATATCGCCTCTTTTTTTCTTTGTGGTTTGAGTTTTGGAAGGTACTTCATAGTTAAGAAAACTTGTACTTTCTATATTTAAGTGTTTAAATATCAAGGAATGTTGATAAATTCATTTCCTAATAGTTAGAACTCACTGTACGGTGATCGGAAGTCGTGAGTTCGAGTTATTTGACTTGTAGTGGACTGTTTTATGGGTTGTTTCGTGTTGCCTTTGGGCTTTATATTTTTCTACTGTTTAATGGAGTTTTGGAGGATAAATGGTGTGGAGAAACACCACATAATGACAGAATGGTGGGCTGGTCATTCATCGTTACATTATTTTTGTTGTTTGACACTACTTTGGTTGTCGTTTTATGTATGAAGTGATTAGGGTGTGTGGGCTATTTTGTGGTATATTGTGATGGAGATAAGGTTGAAAAATGATACTTACATGTTGTTATTGTTGTGTTCTTGTTGTTGTTAGTATATGGTATTGGAGTAGGGCCTAGTTACAGGGGAGATGCTGCCCAAATTTACGTAAACGAGCTACTAGTTTAAGTTGCGGACTTAGCCTTTATTCAGCACTGATTTTGAATCTCCTTATGATGTGGTAGATTGAATTGAGTTGTTTGAAAAAATTCTTGGAAGGTATTAAGGACTCAACGGAGTTAAGGTATATTAAGGCTATCATTTTTTTCTTTTTGGCATGATCCAAATGATACAAACGAAACGAGCAAAATACGCAACTTTCATAAATGACTCTATTCATAGAAATACTAGGGGTTCCTATATTCTCGATTCCCTATGTGAATTATTATTATATCCTCTACTCATGGGTCTCAGAAAAATACATATTTGATAAAGTTTGTCCGAAAGGCATATTAATTTTATGATATTCGAGAAATCTTATTAACGTATTTCTTATGCATTTTATGCATTTATACATATACATTGACCCATGACCAGAAGGCGTTATATACGCGTATATTATATGTATATAGGATATGGGAAAAGGTTAAGGCGTTATATACGCACCACCACCTGATGAGCTGGTATACGTAGATGATTTTGCCCACACTGGCCGAGATGATATGATGGGATGCCCTCAGAGGCTTGATGATGTTATGTACACATATACCTATGCATGGTATGGCATTTATACGCACATGCATGGCATTATAAATTTTCATGATTCACAGAGCTATTCAGAATTACAAGTTGAGTTCTTTACTCCATGTTTCTCTCATTTCTATTATTTACTGATTTTTATTCCTTACATACTCGGTAAATTATTTTTGTTGACGTTCCTTTGCCTGGGGACACTGTGTTTCATGCCCGCAGGTCCCAATAGACAGGTTGAGAGTTCTCCTAGTAGGCTATCAGCTCAACAGAAGGTGTTTGTGCACTCTACTTGCTCTGGAGTTGCATATTTGGTCAGTATGATTTAAATATGTATTGTTTGGTATGGTGGGGCTCTGTCCCGACCTTTATGATATTTATGTACTCTTAGAGGCTTGTAGACATATGTCATGTATGCGGATACTGGTATGGCCTTATATGCCAGTACGTCATATGTATAAGTCGGTATATCAAGTTGGGTCACCCTATATTGAGTATTTCCTCATGTTTTATTCTACTTATCTCACGACAGTCTCTCTAGCTCAATTACCTATGATAGTATGATACGAAAGATACGTTATGTCGGTACTCGGTTGAGTAAGGTACCGGGTGCCCGTCGCGGCTCATCGGTTTGGGTCGTGACAACTTATCAACTCTCGAATATTATGATACCTCAACTGGATTTGCTTTGATCTTCATGAAACACTGGATTCTTGGCAAGATGAATTGCACTATGGCTATCACTGAAAAGCTCACAATTGTCCTGATCTTTACCTAGCTCTTTAAGAAAGTTCTTGAGCCAAATCATCTCCTTTTCAGCTTCTGAGATTGCCATGTACTCTGCTTCAGTGGTAGATAGAGCAACCCTTTTCTGAAGTCTGGACATCCAGCTAACAGCAATACCACCCAAAGTGAACACATAACCTGTGGTACTTTTTCGACTATCCAGATCGCCGCCTAAATTTGCATCAGCAAACCTTGTAAGATAATATTGCTCTTTTTAAAAAAAAATGCCATACCTGAGGTACCTTTGAGATATCGTAATATCCATTTTACACTTTCCCAATGTTCCTTTCCTGGATCTGACATGTATCTACTAACAACTCCAACTGCATGGGCTATGTCAGGTCTAGTACAAACCATAGCGTACATCAAACTTCCAATTGCTGAAGCATATGGAACTTTGGACATGTACTTCCTTTCATAATCTGTCTTAGGTGATTGGTCCTTTGACAGATTAAGATGGCTTCCGAGTGGAGTGCTTCTGGTCTTTGCATCATGAATATTGAACCTGCTTAGTACCTTCTGTATGTACTTTTTTGAGACAACTTTAAGGTTCCTTCAGACTTGTTTCTGCTAATCCTCATCCCAAACATTTGCTTAGCTGGTCCTAAGTCTTTCATTTCAAACTCCTCTGCTAGTTGTTGCTTAACCTTGTTGATCTCATTTATGCTAGATCCTGCAATTAGCATATCATCAATGTACAATAGTAAAATGATATAGTATTCATCAAGATTTTTGATATAACAACAATGGTCCATCTCACATCGCGTGAAACCATTGTTATGCATGAATCCATCAAATTTATTATACCATTGTCGGGGAGCCTGTTTCAAACCGTAGAACCTCTTCTTCAACTTACACACAAGGTTTTCCTTACCAAAAACTTGAAAACCTTCAGGTTGCTTCATATAGATGTCTTCTTCAAGGTCACCATGCAAGAAATCAGTTTTAATATCTAGCTGCTCTAAATGCAAATTTTCAGCAGCTACGATACTTAGCACCAACCTGATAGTAGTTAAT